GTGACATATATTTCTGTCATATAGAGAAAGTGACTGAAGAGTCAGAATGGATCTCTGAATTTATGTTTTTTGCTGATTCATTGAATCATAGAATATCCTGAGTTGGAAGGGACCCATGAGGATCATCGAGTCCAACTCCTGGCCCTGAACAGGACCATCCCCAAGCATCACACCATGTGCATGAGAGCATTGTCCAAATGCTTCTTGAACTCTGTCAGACTTCATGCTGTGACCACTTCCCTGGAGAGCCTGTTCCAGTACCCACCCACCCTCTGGGGAAAGAGCCTTTTCCTGATATCCAACTTAAACCTCCCCTGACACAACTTCAGGCCATTCCCTTGGGTCCTGTCACTGGTCACCACAGAGAAGAGATCAGTGCCTGTCCCTCCTCTTCCCCTCACAAGGAAGTTGTGACTGCAATGAGGTCTCCCCTCAGTCTCCAGGCTGAACAGACCAAGTGACCTCAGCCACTCCTCATACGGCTTCCCCTCAAGGCCCTTCATCATCTTCGTTACCCTCCTTTGGATGTTCTCTAAGAGCTTAATATCTTTCTTATATTGTGGTGCCCAAAACTGCACACAATATTCAAGGTGAGGCCACCCCACTGCAGAGCAGAGCGGGACAATCACCTCCCTTGACCGGCTGGCGATACTGGGCCTGATGCCCCCCCGGACATGGTTGGCCCTCCTGGCTGCCCCTCCTGGCTGCCCCTCCTGGCTGCCAGGGCACTGCTGACTCAATCATGACTCCTTACTTTGGTAAAAATAATTTATCTGGGTTTTTTCTACAAAATAAATAATTACACTGACCAAAAATTCTAACCTGCATTGTAGAGACTATACCTGCCCATCCTTAAGGATATCAGCTGATTTTGGCCACATTGTCCAAGAAGCATTGCCAGGCCTGAAAGAGATGATGAATATAACAGCAGCTGATGTAGGAGATGTGAAATTCAACAGCAGGTGCTGCCTCCTTTATTCATTTTTTAATGGATAAGAGCCTTTTTAACCTAATAGTATACTTGGATTTGTTCCCAGTTCCACTTTCAATGAAATCAGGAATTTATATTTCCTTCCTCTGTCTGAACAGTCTTCATACTTCAGTGTGAGCTCTTTGTTAAGTATGGTACTCTTGGATATCAGGTCTCTTCTAAGACTTTTGCAAATATAACTCTTTAGCTGGCTCTTTTCTGTTGCCACAAGATATGGCAACTCTTAAGGAATAGTTAATTGGACCCGTAATTTTTAGAGAAAAAGTAAAAGGCATCTGTATGGACCCACAGAAGGGATTGCAGTCCAATTTTTTCATCTTATTTGGTTTTGAGACTTTTGTGTTCTCATAGCCTTTAAACATATTGTATGTTCTTCCATGCTGCAGGCAACCCATTCAGTATATCCATCTTTTTCATTCTCATTGTATAAAACAAGCTTTTTTCAGTCTCTTGGAAAGGGCATTCCTCTTGTGGCTCATCTGTAATTGCCAACTTCATGACAGCAGATGGAGCATTCATGAGTGTGAGTGAGTGGAACATTCATGAGTGAGAACTGGCTTTCTGCACCAGCTGTAAATCCTTATATTCAGTCCCTATAGGGCAGATGAGTGGACACCTACCAGCAATTCAGCCAATTAGTACAAGGCCTTAATCTTGTCTAGGCAGCTGGAACCATTCTTCAGTCTCTTACCCCAGGGGAACTGAGCTGCTGCTGCCTTTTACCAGGATCACCTCTGAGTGCTTTTGTTCTCCTTTAAGGTGTTAGGGGTTTCTCATACTGTGGGTGCTATGTAATCCTTTTACAGGTTGATTTTGTGTTTTTGTACTTACATGCAGGAACCTGCTTCTAGGAAACACTTCATGAGTTTAAGCTAAAAACAAGGTTAGAAGTAAGAAACTTGCGGCTAGCTCTGCATTGAGAACCACAAAGTGTTACATGGAATTGAGGTGCCATCCTTAAATGTTGCTATATCGATTCAAAATAATTTTGTCAAGTGAAATAACCACAAAAATCTAAAATAATCCTGCTTTCTTTTCAGGTTTTATTATTGTGTAAGGAAGCAAATTTCATATTTAAACCCATCTCTAGAGACAAAATACATAAGAAAATGCAAAATTCCAATTAATTTGCAAGATAAAAATGAAAACTGAACAATGAAAGACAAAAGTACAGTATTTTCTGGATTATGTGAAAGTGAAATGTTAAGCAGCCCATTTGTTTACAAATCCACAAATCAAAAAGCAGTCCTGAGGGTTTTGTGAATTTGCCTTCAGTGACTCTGACTGTGCTGCTATTTATGTTGGTGTACTGTGAGAGGGTACTGAGAAAGATTTCACAAGAACTATCACTCTAGAAAACTGTAATCCTGGGTGTGGGTGTTTGGTCTACTGTAGAAACTTCCTTTTCTTACATTTATGTTCTGTGGAAGTATTTATTGTTAGAAAATCCTGAAAATTATTAAAAACAATTAGAACTAACAATGACTGGTGTGTCAGCTCACCACATCAACTTGTTTGATTTCAGGGCTGCAAAAACACAAATAATAACCTCAATTTTCTTCTTCCCATAATTTTTTCATGTTTCATTTTGTCCTTGTACCCATCCCCCTTGCCCGAGCAGTCTCTCACAATTGTATTACCACTTCCTTTATTTTGTCTCAGGCCTGAGATCTATCACCATTCTTAGCCTGTGTGCTTATGAATGATACAGTGGATTATTCCGCAGTGCTCTGTGGCATGGCTGTGGATGACTAATATGTCCTCTGGCAGCCATGCCAGTTTAAATTTTTCCTTAAACAGATTTGGATGAAAAAATAATCCAGCAAAATACCCTACAGTTGTTTTCAACTTGGCTCAATACGTGAGTACAGCTTATTGTGTGGCCACAGGAACAGGTATCCTGGAACAACTGAAGGGATGAAGCTGGGGAAAGAACAGTAGTGAGGACCAGCAGTAGCTAAAAATGTTCATCAGTCTGCCTTCAGTCAGGTTGTCTATTGAACTGCAAATGTGACCTTTAGCAGGTGCAGTCAACAGCTGTGTATTCTCAGAGTGATCTTTGTGCTGTATTTGCAGCTCTGGCATGGAAGTTATTTATCCTCTATTGTTTTCATCTGTAAAATTGCAGTAATGAATTTCTCAATAGGGCATGGCTATGGCAGTGGATTTACCAGTGGAGATACTAATGTGAAGACACAAAAGAAATGCCACAGAAAATAATGAGCTCTAGATATATTATCAAATTTACTAAGTTGCATGGGGAGTCCCCAAAGGATGGTTAATTGTATATTTTATTTAATACTTTTGTTGACTTTAGCAATTTCTACTTCTCTGTCTCCTGCCATCTTATTCCTGCTTTGTCTGTATCCCTTTGGAGGAGCCAATTCAGTTGTCAGATAAGAAAAAAAGTGCTTTTTATTTGTCACATTACTCTTCAGCTGTACCAGTTGTTTGACCTGGCTTACTACACAGCCAGATATAGGTAGTCAGGTATACAACAGCTGTTACAAACAGCAAAACTGAAATCAGCTCAGAGCACTTGAGAACAAGAGCTGCACATGCTGCTGCTGCTTCCAGAAAAGATGTGCCCTCATTGGCTGCTGAGGTTGAGGGTCAGACCCTTTAGCTACCTTGAACTAACTTTAGAAAATGTGTTAAATTCTGCAGCAAGAGGAAAAGAGTTGCCAAAAGGATCTTCCCTCTCTTTACTCCTTCTTGTAGAATATTTCTTTGATAACTTCTAGCACTCAAAACAAACACTAAAGAAATAGAGTCTACTGATGAGCCCCATGCAAGGTAATGTGATTGCAAAGAAGAGGAGTCAGTATTACAGAAAGAGTAAATTCTGAAAAGAATTAGTCTAAAAATGTAAAACGTCTTTAGGTAAGTGATAAGGAGCAGATCCATATAGGATTATAATCAGCAATTTGAATTCCAATTTAAGTGAACTCTAAGTGATTGTCATGAAGAGGAAGTCAGATCATCTGCTCTCAGGCACTATGTAGCCTCTTTGGAAGCTTAAAATCATTTAACATAATAGTTTTAGAGTATATACTGTATTGTGTATATCTGCTTCAATGAATATTTGATATAAAACTCTTTTGATAAATAGCTTCTCCAAAGATACCTTATACAAATTTATAACCCTTATTTATTCTCTTTACTCCTAATATACTTTTTAGTAAACTATAAAGAACATTTTTGTTTCTTCTGGTGTCATACAATTCTTAATTTATGTATTTCTATGCAGCTGAAATAACTGAAGGATGAATTTTAAGTGGGAGGAAACCCACTTCTTTCATCAAACTCTATTTACAGGAAGAGTTTTTTCCATTAAAACGCTGAAGAGCAGAATTGCACCCTAATATGTTATAACCTGCTCCTGGCGACAAATCAATTCTGATAAGATTACAACAGACCTGCCAGTTTATTTTTAAAATTATTGGTCTCTGAGTAGTTGTAAATAAGACTAATCAAGATGGAGATTTTTAATAGTACTTTCATCTTTCAGTAAATTATGCAATATGTCCATACTAAACTTGATCATTATCCAGAAATACTTAATTTATGGAGCACACACAACTGAACTTTAAAACTGGGCCAAATATTGCAGTAATTGCTGGATAATTCCATGTTTTCTGATTTGTCAGTGCTTCTCTAAAGACTGCAAATTCTGCTTGGCTTATTGGATCACTATGTGGTTGTGCTTTAGAAGACTGGTAATTTCTAAATTTTTTCTGTGCTGTGCATATCTGTGGTGGGTTGACCCCGTCTGGTAAACTGCTCTGAGCCCGATTTGGGTCTGATTTTGGCTTAAATTTAGCCTGAAAGTCAGGAGATTATGTCACATTCAATGAATAATGAAGATATGGCACCTTTTTGGAGTGGTTCTGTAGAATGCAAAATTCTTCAAAAGTGTTTATTATTATTTTTTCTCTTTTTAAAAAGCTTTCACAATCTACTACAGTAATAATAGTTTTTATTTTTGTTCTCTGTCTCTTGTCTTCAGTCGAGGCCTCTTGCCCTGCAGGACTTTTTGCGAGGCAGCAAAAGAAGGCTGTGAACCAGTCCTGGGTATGGTAAATGCTTCTTGGCCAGATTTCCTGAAGTGCTCTCAATTCCAAAACAAAACTGAAAATGACACCACTGCAAGGGTATGCTTCTCACCACACCAAGAAAAAGGAAAGCACTGTATGTTTCCATTTTTAACTGTTACACTATGTTCATAAGTTCTTATTTAATGATGTATTTTTGTTACTGTGTAGGAAAAGCTCTGTGTTGAAATCATTATTTCCTGTTACTTTACTATTTCCCTTCATATTACTGTGATGAAGTCTGATTGTCAGTTGGTTATAATTTTGCTGTGATTTAATTGTTTAGTCTGAATTTTCTTCAGACTTGTGTTGATTTGAGGCTTTTTTGTTTTGCATCAAAAATTCGGAGCTATTTTGAGGAAAGAAGGTAGGAGAAAAGTAATACAATCTTTGAAAATGTTCTTCGTAGTTTTTCTCTGCTAAGCTCTAGTAAATACAGGTTTACTATTTACTACAGCAGGAACCTGATATACAGACCAAATTTCAAGTGGATCTCCTTTCTCCTTGCTGTAAAAATGAGCCCCAAACTGATCAAGAGGTAGACTTTTCAAAAGGCATAGTCTTTATATGCCCATGCATAAAGTCATAGTATCATCTAGGCTGAAAAAGATACTTAAGGTCATCCAGTCTAACGGTTAACCCAGCACTGCCAAGTCCACCACTAAACCGTGTCCCTCAGTGTCATGTCTACATGTCTTCAGGGATGGTGACTCCACCACTTCCTTGGGCAGCCTGTACCAGTGACTGACCACCACTCCTTCAGTGAAGAAAATTTTCCTAGTATCCAATCTAAGTCTCCCTTGGTACAACTTGAGGCCATTTTCACCTGTCATGTTGCTTGTTACTTCGGAAAAGACTGACCCCCACATTGCTTTCAGGTTGTTATAGAGAGTGATAAGGTTCCCCCGAGCATCCTTTTCTCCAGGCTAAACACCCCCAACTCCCTCAGCTGCTTCTCATAAGACTTGTGCTCCAGACCCTTCATCAGCTCTGTTGCCCTTCTCTGTACTTACTTCAACACCTCAAACTCCTTATTTGAGTGAGGACCCCAAAACTTAATGCAGGTGTGGCCTCACCAGTGCTTAGTACAGGGGGAGGATCACTGCCCTGATCGTGCTGGCCACACTGTTTCTGATAGAGGCCAGGATGTCATTGGCCTTCTTGGCCACCTGGGCACACTGCTGGCTCATGTTCAGCTGGTTTTACAGGTCTAATGAGTTTTGATCATAGAATCATGGAATCATCAATGTTGAAAGAGACCTTTAAGAATATCCAGTCCAACCTTGAACCCAGCACTACCACTGTAATCCTTAAACCACTAAACCATTTCACTAGATCCGGATGTCTCTTAAACATGTAAGGAAGTGAGAAGGAGACATCATCAGTCGTTCATTCCCCATGAAACCAATGATGCATTCTGGGGGGAAGAAATCTCAGAAGCCCTCTGAGGGCTGCTATTCGTATCCCTACTTACAGAAATATTCCAGCTCTGTTTTCTCTCTCTCAACTGACACTGTGTTAACTCTTATTATTTTACTTGGTTTGACCAGCCAACATAACTGATGCTGTTAAAACCACGGAGGAAAAAAACACAGTATCTTGAATGAGAAATAAAGCAACACAATGATCTGACTTAGATTAACATGGAGCTCTCACAAGAGCCCTGAAGTTATTTTTTGGGTAATTTGAATGGTAAAATGCTTTCAAAAGCAGCAGTGAATATGATGCTTCTGCTGTTTATAAAACAAAACTGTGTAAATGACAGTATAGAACTGTCAGAAAATGTTCACTTTTGTATTTTTACTCGAGGCATTTTGAATGAATGTCTGTTTCCGTTAAAAAACGATGCATAAGTGGCCTGAACTGCACTTAATAGCCATGAGATTTTTAACAAATTACAGAATTATAGAATGATTAGAGTTGGAAGGGATCTTAAATACCATATTGTTCCAACCCCCCTCCCAAGAGCAGGGACACATTCCACTAGACCAAGTTGCTTAGACCCCCATCCAACCTGACCTTGAGACTTCCAGGGATGGGGCATCCACAACTTCTTTGGGCAACCTGTTCCAGTGCCTCACCACCCTCACAGCAAAGAATTTTTTCCTAATATCTAATCCTAGCCTACTCTCTTTCAGTTTGAAGCCATTCCCTCTTATCCTGTCACTACATACTCTTGCAAGAAGTCCCTCTCCATCTTTCTTGTAGTCTCCCTTCAGGTATGGGAAGGTTGCAATTAGGTCACCCCTAGGTTCACAGTGGTATCAATTTAGAGGAATAACTTTGAGTAGATAATTGAAATACCTGATTACAACCAGGTATGTATTTTTCTTTAGGGAATGTGAAGCTAAATACATCCAATTGAGGGTTTTTTGAGAAGAAGCTTTTAAAAACAGGAAGACATCATCTTTCTTTTGTGCCCTTATATTTCCTTAATGCAGTGAAGAGAGAGATGATCTGTGTATGTGTAACATTAATGCTGACCAGCTGCAAAAACAGGAATAGTGGAATAATTTTTGAGGAAGACAAAAGGTTTTTCAGGATTGTGATGGTCTTTCATGTGAGAAAGCATTCACAGTTTAGAAAACTCTTTCCTGCAAGCATTCATTCTTTACTTCTTTTGATCCTGCATTACATTTTCTTATGTTCTTTGATTTTTATTCTCCCATTCTGCCTCCCCCACCATTTATCTCTGCCTGTATTCCTGTTCTTTGCCCGTTTCTTTGCTTGCAGTTTCCTATGTGGCCTTTTTAGGCCACATCCTTTGAGTGAAAGAGAAAGGTTCTTTTGTCTTCTTTCTCCCACAGGGTTTTGCATCATAAGGAAATAGAGAAATGAACAATTTCCTGGGAGTAAGGAGTTGCCAGCTTTTCTAATTCCATGATCATGATCCTATTCTCAAAACTTTCTGGAATTGACAGGAACAAGATGCGTGCACTGTACTGCAGGGTACATATGGTATAGGGAGCAGGAGATGAAAATTTGCAGGCAAGAGAATACAGGGATTCCTCTGTGTCCCACTGTGTTATTGTATATTGGGTCAGATGCAGATGAAGAGTCCATCTATCTTATAATGCTGACTCCAAAAGCTTACAAAATCAAATGCATAGAGAAGAATAGGAGAACAGGGCAAGACAATGTGACAATACTTTTCCAGATGCTCCTGCATTTTCCATCTGTTTGAGATTCAAGGACTTTCTTTAACTTCTAAGACACCATGGATGTTTATTCTATTAATATGTCCCTTTGTTTTATGGACCTATGTACGTTTTAACATCCACAGTACCATGTTCCAAAGTGTTTCAGCTTATCGAAGCGTTGTATGAAGAGCACTACCTTTTGATTGTTTTAATACCTCCTAAGTTCTTTCATAGCATTAGTTAGTGAATGTTGTCTCCACTTTGAAAAAAATTAGCTTCACTTTCCGTGGTCATTTTCACAGCATAAAGAATGCTTTATCTGTTGTTATACCTTGAAATGCAGATCTTGAGGATGGTAAAATAATGTTTATTTCAGTCTGTGCTGTCTGCAGCTTTCCAGGGACCTGCCCACATAATATTCTATAGATGACATTCCAGTAATCTAGCTGGGAAGTACAGAACATAAATGGTCTTGCCTCCTCAAAGCCACTTTTGATAGTACACCAGACACAGGTACAATAAAGCACTCTTTTCTGCCCATGTTTAGTCAGGGATTTTGGAAGCTATTCCAGTTTGTAAATCTCTCTGGGTAAGGTCTACAACAGGTAAATTTCTCTGTCAGCAAGGATTACTTCCATTTTGTTTGGGCTTCTTTTACCTAATATTTTTTCTTCTTCAGTAGTTCAGGCACATATATATTTGCATGATTTTATTAATAAATGTGTGAATTATGTACAGAGATATCACTAATTAACATTTCCCAGTATATTCCTTTAGAATAACACACTTGCAATTTTTAATAATTTTGAGTGGAATGGTTCATACTTCTCTTACTTCAGAAAATTATTTCAGGCATTATTTCTTTTGTTGGTGCTGCTGCTGCCTTGTTTCAAGCAGTCCCAGCATTTCTGAGTATGCAGCCATTTGCCTGTGTTCAAGAAAGTCTTACAAATGGTTGTATAACTAAATCCTCTAGGTTTCAGATCAAATATCAAGATTCAACATTCAACAAAAATGTTTGTTTTACAGCATTTGACAAGGCTTTCATAATTTCCAATAAATTCTGATCGAATTGTCAACCTACTAAAAACTTTTTGGACAAGCTTGGTAGAAAGCAGAAATTAAATTCATTTGACATACTGTTCAAAGCGTATGTGCTCTCCTTGCCATGAACAGTGCACTGACTGGACCAAACATATCCAGTCATCACCTAGTAGAAGACTGCAGCAGGTGAGATTAGTGTTTCTAAAAATTTCTTCTGATTACTTCCATATGCTAAAACTGAGAGAAACAATAGTAGTTTCAGTCTTCCTCTTTTTTTGAGTATAACATACAAACAAATAGGAAAATACTGACTGTAGGTATGACCTGTAGGAGAAGTGGTTCGGGGTAGGAGCAGAACAAGATGGGGATGCATTAAGGAGGCAGAGTCAGAATGACTTATAAATGCTAGAACACAGTTTCGTGTTATAAATGCTTATAAATGCTAGAACACAGCCCAGAAATGAGTATGGGACCCCCAGAATCCTTGCTCTTCTGATCTGTTAGAAAAATAATCACATAAATATCCTTTCTGTTTACTTTTGTTCTCACAGGCCAAATTGGCATATTCACACAAAAGGTAGAAGTCCCTTACTGTTGCTTAGTACCAGTAAAACTCTGTACTGATGGGGTTCTGTAAGCAAATCAAGATGGTTCCTTTTGAGCTATTTCTGCTGTTTTTCGTTTCGAACATGCAGGAAACTGTGTAAAAGCCCAAGTTATAAGAATGTAAGATTACCAAGTCAGTTAAAGTTGCCTTTCCAACCTCAAAGACCCTTTCTTGTATGATAAATTAGAATGTTTTGATTATGTTATCATATTCTATTTTTACCTGACATAATTGTCTGAGGGATAAACACTGGTCTCCAGGGAACTAGAGCCCATACTGAGGAAGTCTCTTGTTTCTAGGGGCCCCTGTAGAGCTTACTGACTGTAGCGATTAGGAAGTGCAGTGCATAAGGCAGGAAACTGGAGAAACAAAAAGATTGGCTCATAATAAAGAAAGTGTGATTTTATTATATGGAATGAGATTCTTCCCTGTCACCGTTGCAGTCACCATGTTCAGCAAGGCACTGGAATAGAAGTGGACTCTTCGTTTGTATAGCTGGAGTTTATTTGCAGCTGAAACATGCTCTTGCAGCTACAAATAAAGGCAAGAATTCTTTGAACATGTAAAATAATACCTGTCTTTACTCTTCAGGAAAAAAACCACACACATGCTAACATGTCTTAGATTGGTCAAATTAAGTTATTATTCGTAATAACTTTCTCTTTAATATCTCACTGCTTCATTTTTGTCCCCTGTAAAATGAGACTGTGAGTGCTATCGAATCTCATGTTGGTTTTAAGACTATGATGTTTTGCAGTTTGTAATACCCTTCCAAAACTGGTAGAACACAGGTAAGTCTGTAGCTCTTTAGTTAGAAGTTAGGAAATCTGTCCAACCACACAGTGTGTTGTGAAGGAACCTACTGAGAAGCACAGTATAAGGTAAACAATAACACCGTGCAAAAGGATAGTGCTGGTGGTTTTGCCCTATCTTGCTTCTGATTAACTGTCACAAAGATTAAGTGTCACAAACTAGTTGAAAATTTTTAGTTTAAAGTCTCTTAGCATTTTGGGCACTTTTCTGTAAAGTTAGAAGCCTTCTTTAAAATCATTGCATAAGCAGCTTTCACTGCAATAAACATGGCTCCATTACACAATTAGACAATGATATTTGTATTGCAAAATCAAAACTATGTGCTGTCCAAGTGGAGACTACACCTGGGAATGTAATAGAAAAGATTTTGAAATTATCCCTAAGTTTTTATTACAAACAAATTTTTCATAAAGGGTGTGTGTTTCAGTTGACTAAGTCTTAAGATTGCCCCGTTGCTTGGGGATGATAAAATAATATTTCAGGCTTAGGAAAGAATGTAAATGTGTTGGAAAAAAATAATCCCCTGCTGACAAAAGTTAAAAGTAATAATGAAGGTACTGAGAGTGTGCGTGTGAATATCTGTTGCCATAGTGTGATAGAAAGGACTGCTGTTTTAGGACCACAAATAAAATTAAAAATCTAGATGAATAGTTGCACTTGCAGTCAGTGCAAGCTGAAGCTACGTGTCATTTTTGAAAAACACATATTTAGGCAGGTCCAGTGCTAAGTGATACCTCACAGCATCCACTGTTTACCTAGTGGTTTGGCAAATTGTGAAGAATATCACACTGCTAAACAGTAAGGTCAGTCCTAAGCAGAAATTATTATTTTTTTTTGTAGGCATGTTAAAGGCTGCTTGTTTAGTCCCAAGGGAGACGTAACATGTGTAATAGTCTTTCTGTGACTGCCTGTTGAGGTCTTTTAAAATGGGTCATTCACTGATAGCAGTTTTAAATGGCTTTGTTCTGTCTCAAAAATTGAGATTTTTCTTTCAGGTTTTTTTCTTGACCTTCTTGCACTCAGTGATGTTTCCTCCCTGTGGGAAATCTTGAATCAGTTTATCAGTTTAATCTTGACTATCAGTTTAAAGTAGCATTAAGTTTGTAGTGTTGATGCTAATGATTTTTCTCCTCATTCTGTCTTTTCTTCTCTTTTGCAGCACTGTGTGGAGGAGAGGAGAGTTTCTTGTGTGCCAGTGGGATCTGCATCCCAGGGAAACTGCAGTGTAACGGCTACAATGACTGTGATGATTGGAGTGATGAGGTCCATTGCAGTAAGTTTCTTAAACCTTGCAGTGTTCTTTTGAAGCACTGAATCCATTCAGGGAAACCTGAACACTAAAGAAGGCTATTGGTACAGAATAGGAGCTTTGCATGGTATTTGCATATACTGACATTTGGAGTCTTGTCAGTTGCCATTGATTCTGTTCACCTTTGCTCACTCAGGCTACAGCATGTGATTTTGATCTGTCAAATTTTGTGCCTTGAGGCAGATATTCTGCAAAGAGCCATGTGGAAGTTAGAAGTGTTTGGGGGCTTTTTTAAAAATGGATCAGTAAGGGAGTGCTTCCAATAATCAACTGAAGACTGTTAGCTGTAGGTTTTTCCTGGTCCTTGGCATTGATTTTAGAGTAGATGCAAGACCATCTGTTTAGAAAGTTCTCGTCTCAACCCTGGATGAGACTTACTTAAAGTAGTCCCAGTATATGGTGTAGTAGAAAAGAAAAATGAATATACATATGTGACAACTTAATTTCTTATTTATCTGTCTGTGGTAGTGCACATCTTTAGAGTTCCTATGTGTTTTTCTTTATGAACAAGAATGTCCTTGGACTACAAACACTTTCAGAAAAGCTGAGCAAATGTACGGTAGGAAAATGATGAGAAGGAAAAAAAAAGAAAGAAAAAAGGAAAATGTGGGAAAATTATTAAATAGCGACTATAGTAGGGCATGATGCCACAAAACAGTGTTGCTCATTCAGACTTTGGAAACTGTGCAGTTTACACTCACCTCAAAAGATTTGTTCTTATTAGTGATTTAAGAGCCTGGGCATTCCAAGACTCACAAAGCTACTTTTAAGGAAGTTGTTGCTAGATTTTATCTCGGATACTCCAAGGAATAAATGACGGCAGTAATTTCCTCTTGGTCTCAATATGAATGAGGCTAGAGCTTGCTTTTCCTTTAATAGCCTCCATTTATTTAATGGAGATTGAGATAATGTCTGTTATGTAAAAAGTATTGTATGTTTTTATTTTTCCTGTCAGGATTAGCTTCAGATTTAATGTAAGCTAAAAAATTTAAAAATGCCTCTGGGACTTATGACTCTCAAGTTCCATTAGAAATGGGAAAATAAGAAATTAGCAACAAAAGAATAAATATATGACATATCTTGAAAAAAAAGCATAAATTTCATGAGCTAAGATTGCAAGCTCTAAGATTACCTTTAAAAGAATGCCTGTCTGTTTAATGATACAGGGTTTATGTGTGGAGGATGTCTTCTATTAGGATACTTAGTAAGAGTTGAGGAGAGGGGTCACATAAGACTTTCTTGACTTACATAGCAGAAATAGCAAAACTAAAGGAGGACTTATTTTCCTGAAAACTTGTCTGATAAAAGATGCTATGTTTCTTGCAGTCCTTGCCCCTCTCAAAGTCTTAAGTCACCTCACTAAGTTATAGAATAGGTTGCTCAGAGTCCCATCCAACCTGATCTTGAGTGTTTCTAGGGATGGGGTATTTACTACTTCTCTGGACAAGCTGTCCCTGTGTTTCACCATCCTCATTGTAAAAAATTTATTCCTTATGTCTAGTCTAAATCTACCTTCTTTTAGTTTAAAACCATTATCCCTTGTCCTATCACAACAGACCCTGTTAAAAAGTCTGTCCCCATCTTTCTTATATGCCCTCTTTAAGTATTGAAAGGCCACTCCTTCTCCAGGTTAAAACAGCCCCTACCCTCTCAGCCTTTCCTCAAAGGAGAGGTGGACCATCCCTATGATCATTTTTGTGGCCCAGGTCCATGTCTTTCCTGTGTTGAGGACACCAGAGCTGGGTGCAGCACTCCAGGTGGGGTCTCACCAGAGCAGCGTAGAGGAGCAGAATCACCTCTCTTGACCTACAGGCCACTCTGATGGAGCGCAGGATATATTTGGCTTTCTGGGCTGCAAGTGCGCATTGCTGGTTCACGTCCAGCTTTTCATCCACCAGAACCCCCAAGTTTTTCTTGGCAGGGCTGCTTTCAATCCACATTCCTCAACCTGTATTGATATTGGGGGTTGCCCAGACCCATGTGCAGCAGGTCCCTCTGGATGGCGTCCTTCAGGCGTGTCAACTGCATCACTCAGCTCTTGTGTCTAACCTTGATGTGTCATCCCACAGCCATTGTCATTGTCACAGTCAAGCCTGATACTATCCTCCTCCCCTCTCAAGTCTAGCTTAAAGATCTAACTCATCTTTCAATGAAACCCACTAGTTTGTGAGCATTCACTGGCCTTCCACATCCAGAGCATCATACCCATTGTACAGAGAGAAGCACCTGGGAAGACAAGGTGGGCAAGAAGGGGTTTCATATGCTATCACAAGTGTGGACTTGCTTCCAGTCTCTCTTTTCCTTTAAGCTACTGCCTTGTGCCTGACAAAGGGAGGATACATCTGCAATCGCAAAATTCTTATATTAGAAGAATTTATGCTAAAATTTAGATGCTGTCAGGTTGGAGAGACATCTTTGTTTTTTAGTTACAAAGTTACATACGTTGGGGATGGAATAATCTCTCCCTGTGCAGGTGACTTTATCTGAGCTAAATGTCTTAACCTGCCATATGGAGAATGAGCTGAGAAATAGACCAATGCATGATTTGTCTGATTTTAAGCACGCTATGCTATAAATTCTGTTTTTACTTTCTAAGATGACGTGAAACTTTTAGAAAATATGAATACTTCTGTGGGGGAAGGGAAAGAAGTGATTCATATTCAAGTTCCAGAGCTGAGGTTGCTTGAGAAACTTAGGGCATTCACCTAGGTGAAACACTTGGTTGACATTGATCTTAAGGGATAGAAACCCCACTGCAGCTTCTGGGAGAGTTTTGCACCTGTCAGTGTGTAATACACTTAGAAGGACACCCTGCTTTCAAAGTGGGACCACTGTGCAATCATGAACACAGGAGTCACATGCCAAGAGAAGAGAAGCACAGAGGGCTTCCCTGGTTCCAGTGGCATAGCTTCAGTAGGAAGGAGGGATTCCCAGCTGTTCTGTATCCTGGCTTTCTCCCTGGAAAGCTATATGTCAAGGAGAAGCCTAGAGGAAAGCAGTGAAACTAGGTCACTCACTTCCCAACTATGTGCTTTGAAATTAAAAGTTATTTCTAATGGGACCGGACACCACAAACCCTGATTTCTCTTCTACCTGCTTTCTCAACTACAACATAGAGTTCATGTTTATATTGAACGTGAGAGTATTCAAGTATTTTGGATATTCTCAGAGAATATCTGTCAGGGCTTTACTGAAGCCTTCCGTCATGAAAAGAAAGCTTAAACTGATTTAGAGCTGACAGTGATAAGAATTCCTTGATGAAAAGGCACCAAGCCAAAACTGAGCTGAAAACTGTGTAAAGCATGAAGCTCATTTGAAACCATTGTAAGATCAAAGGCAGGCTCAAAAGCAGGGTCTAGGGGTATTGATTTTGCTGTTAGAATCCTCAGTTCCATTTAACAGCCACATTGGATGCTGAAGACTGTCCTAATAATTTAGATGATGAAGCCCACAACCTTTCTTGAGAACTTTACGTGCATAATTTAATCAGTTTGGTCCATATGTGTAACTAGAGCACTTGGTTACACAAAAAGACAATTGGTAGGAACAGAGAAGAAATATCTAAAAATTTCTTTGATTTTTCATGTTCTTCCGTATTAGATTCTCGTAAACTGATACATACCAGTATTAATGCAGACCTTTGTAGCATATCTTTAGCTAATCTTGTTTTAGTCAGTACATTCTAGTGTTCATAATTTATATGAATGTTCCAATGTAATTTCAACATTTTACAAAAATTTGTTTTGTAGACTGCAGTAGTGATGTATTTCGTTGCAACACGGGAAAATGCCTAAATTATTCTTTTGTTTGTGATGGATATGATGACTGCGGAGACCTTAGCGATGAACAAAACTGTGGTAAAGTTTTATGTTTTTCTGAAGTCTTTAAGATATCACGATTGCCTAAGCCAGTCATCTTTTCTCTTAAACTACTACAGGAGTAATAAATCCTGCTGTTACTCTATTTGGACAAAGTGAAAACAGCTCACAAATTCTATATGCAATTTGAAAAGGTTTAGAGAAAAGTTCTGGGTCAATCCAAATCTTGAAGGTAGTGGTATTTATAAGAAATATTATGATTTTCAATTTGATTTAAACTAATGCCAAAAGATGTTATGTTTGTTTCCTTGCTAGCTTGACTGAATTTAACTGACATTAAAGCAAACCATAGGAGGCTACACTCTGGTGATGCCAACTGTTTTATGGCTGAACTGTTTTTATGTAAGCTTCATAGTGAACTTAAAATTCTTAAATTCTGTTTCTTCCAAGTTCTGTTTTCAATCATCTTTGCATGTTCTGACTCATTATATTTATCTATCTACCTAAACTTAACTTCCATAGGAGAAACAATGAAGTTTTGCCATAAAAAAGAATAATCTTCACATGTAAATACGGGAAAAATTTGAAAACCTTATTTTTACTAACTTCTGTTCCTGGTCCAACACCTGAGAAAAATTAAGTTTTCTAAAATAATTATTTAATAGTTAAAATATTATTTCTTACTTTTTCCTTTTGCTTTTCTAATGAAAATACAAAGAATTTAAAAACTAAAAATCAATGACCTTTTTTTTCCCCTGAGATTTGTTTTATACTTCTGCTCCAAATTAAGCACACTCTAAGACCTTTCACTATTCTTTTGTCAGTTTTGGTTGTTTGGTGTTTTTTTTTTTATAAATCATCTTTGTTTATAGATGATTTATATTTTCTAAACATTAATCTGACTCTTATCATTCCTATCTTGATATAGTTTTTTCTGTATAAAATTTAAGATCTAAGTCTTTGTACAGTCTATAAGTGGTTTTCATAGCAGATTTGGAAGACTGGACTGTGTCTATGCTCTGTATTTATTTTGGTGTAAAGTCAGCCTTCTCAGCAGAATGCTCTTCTTTATCTGTGCATTCAGGTAGAAAAACTAAGATAAAGATTGAAGTAATTTCTTTGTAAATAATTCTTATGGAAAATTCCAAGTGCATGCAAAAGACATAGTTTCTGAAGTCAAGAATTTATTTTTTTTTAATGTCTTAGTAAAAAGGTAAATGTACAGAATTATTTTCTCTGATGTCAGCTGAAAATGTTGGCTAACTGAAAATCATGCCATGAGATGATAAACCAGAAGATCCTTTAACGTGCTTAACAAATTTTAGAACCTTATTTGCAAATGGTAACAGCTGTGCACCTGAGAGATGGAAGGAGTGCATCACTATCTATGTAGACAGTAGAATTCAAAACATATGTAACTACCATCTGCAAAAAAATCTGCAGGTACGGAAGATGTAATTTACTAATGCAAAATGGCTCCTTAATAAGAATGATTAGCTAATAGGCATAGAGCAATTGATCAGTAATATAAAATACACAAACGGTAACTTTGCATTCTTTTTTCCTTCAAATTTGCATTTTATGTAGATTGTAATCCGGTAACACATCATCAGTGTGGAGATGGAAGATGTATAACAGCTGATTGGGTATGTGATGGTGACCATGACTGTATAGACAAATCAGATGAGATAAATTGCTGTAAGTTCCCTTAATCTCTAAATTATTTTTTCTTTCTTTAAAAATTAAAAAAAAATTTAAATTAAAATTAAATTAAAAAAATTAGGATAAGTAGCGCATTTACTTGTGAGGCAAAACTATAAGCTTATTTGATTTCAGAAGTTCACACTTGACAAATGTCCATTCTGGTAGACAGCTGCAGCAAATTAAACATTTGTTGCCATTGTTGAGAAATACACTGCTTTGTGTTTCAGCTTCTTGTTAATTACAGAATTAGCTTTTTGTTAATTTTATTGTTACCATTAGATGAGTAAAAATTATGTTGTTTTCTTTTTTTTTGGAAAAGCTAAGCCTTCATATAAGCCTGTTGCTAATACCTGACATATAGTTTCAGTCTCTGTAGTTAAATATCAGCACAGCTGTAGGGTATTGAAAACATAATGAAAAATGTCTCCTGATGTTCAGTGCTGAGCAGTGTTATCAGCTCCTCCTAAAATAACTTTAAGATGATGTTCAAAAATAATGCAGACCTTCATTAACCGAAGTTGATAAGAATATTGTATTTTTTTTTTTTATCTCTAGCATGTGACAGCCAGGGTCTCGTGGAGTGCAGAAATGGGCAGTGCATTCCTAGTGCATTCCAGTGTGATGGAGATAATGATTGTAAAGATGGAAGTGATGAAGAAAACTGCAATGAAAGTAAGGATATGTCTCACTTTACTTTTCTTACCAAACCTACCATTGACTTCTGTGTTCTGAAGCGTCTTTAGCTAAAGCTGTCTGACAAATTTCTTTGCCTTTCGAATAACACTTGCTAAGGCTGATTGGTGTCTGCTTTCACACAGGAATTTGTAAGCAGACTTTTATTAGTACTTAAAAATATAAAAAGTTAAAGAAATGGAGGTGATATTTAGCATAGTATTTAGTTGTCTGACATGATCAGTTGTTACTTGAAATAATGCATATTCACATTGTCTGGAACACTCAGAATCTATTGTCACTTGGTGTCATTTGAGGAGGAATTTTCTCATGAAAATCCTTTTTTTATCATAACTTGGGAATCAGAGAAAGGACGTTTCCATAAGTAAACTAATGATTTAGTGTTACTAAGGGAAAATATATGAGAATGTAAGTTTTCGCAGCTACTTGATAACTGTCTTATGATGTATAAGAGAAGAAGAAACCACACAATTTCTTGAGCCCCAGAACATGGTTTCCAAAAGCCATTCAGAAATAATTATTGTCATGTTATGATGAATTTCAGCATTTGAAGTTATTTTTCACATGTAATGATCTTACTTCTGGTAAGGTATAGGTTCAGATTGCAGCCTTTCCTTCAATGCAAGAATTATTAAAGTTTTTCTCTTATGAATCTTATTTGAAAGAAATTAAAATATTTAACTTTATTTAGAAAGCTAGTGCTGTCAGATGTAGGGCAAACTACTTAAAACTTATTAGAGCAGAACAGGCCCATTATCATAACATAAATATACAAAGTTATTATATAAGCCTCATTTCTTTAGGAAACCAGTCTAGAAGAAATCTTGACTGAGCATTTCTGCTCAGTCCCCTCTGTTCATATAAAGTTCTTGAGATCTTCCTACTCCACTTTAGACATCTCCATTCCAAAAAATAACTGAGAAGCTGAAACACAGAAAATAATGTAGTTATTTTTCTTTGCTATTAATGTTCACATTGTAAAAAGGTCTTGCATGAAATTTCTTTCAGTTCTGACTATCGCAATCTGAAAACTCAGGACCGAGTTTTGTCCTGAGTTCTGACTGTGCACTTTCACAAAATGTTCAGGTTTTATTCTTTGTCTTCTTGATGTCCAGTCTGAGGCTTACACTATGAATTCTTTGATCCTCCGTTTCTCTTGCATAATCTGGGCTAGAAGTCAGTGGTGTGTTTTGTTTTCACTGCTTTTTTCCCTTTTGATGTTGAAGAATGTTTAAAAATCTTTTTTTGGTAAGATTAACTGGTATATATTAAAATATTCAAGGAATAGTATGGGCTGATAATTATGTAGACAATGATCTTGCCACATGCTAAAGAATCTTTCTGCTTGGCATTAAACTGCTAATCTTTAAAGTATAAAATTTTTCCTTTTCTGTATTATTCATTCTTCAATGTGCAAAAGCTCTATCCAATATTTTGCAGTATTGTGTAGAACAAAATTCTTTATGCAACCATATTCCGTCCATCCTAATTTGCATGGGAATATCTTGTCAGACTTTGGACTTTATCACCTTTAGCTCCTTGCAAAGTCCATGTAAAAGGAAGACAGAATTCTTGTGCCTAACTTACTTACTATTGTATTTCTTATGTATTTTGTTGTTTTCAGCAACTACAGAAAATATAATAGGACATACAGTTACTACAAATACACTTACTACTTCTCTGCTCTACAAATCAAATAAAAAAATTTAGATATGCCTAGCAGAGTCCGTGAAGTAAGGGCTAAAGTGATCTGGAGTATTGGTTTTCTTATAAACACAGTAAATCTGCATAGAAATCTGAGGTCAAGGTATAGTGACTTGCCACTTGCTTATATAATGATGTAGGGACCTTGTGTCCTAATACAAGTGTATACACATAGAGATTACAAATGGCCGTTGCTTTATCTATATCTGAATAAGAAAAGTGTTCTCCTTCACTACATACCCTAAGGAAATCTAAGGTATAGCATCTATTAAGAGTACTGCTCTCATTCATTTTGTGACAATAGAAACCTAATACGGATGTATTCACAGCTGGTTCTGTGATCCATTCAAAAGACGGAGTAGAGTTTGTTTACAGAAATTCAGCATTGTCTGTGCTAGGATCAAAAAAATCTACATTGTGGCACATGAATTTTTAAAGAATTGAGAAACTCTTCCATTATGGGATAAGAAGAAGTTGGAGCAAACTTTAAAAAATAATTTTAATGTAAATATTTGGGATAGCTTTAGAAGTCAGGTGGCTTTGCCTACCTTTCAAGTTCCATTTTGCAATCAGATGCACCTGTAAAATAAGACAGTCAATTGCTATGGCAAACAAATTGCCTTCGTTGCTTCAATATATTACATGGATGAAGGGAACTAAATCCGCATAATTATGAGTAGATATGGTTACATCATCAATTCTTTGAAAAGGTTGTTATCAAGGTCATTGAAATAAGGTATTTCTTAAGCATCTTCTGTATGCCCAGTGTCAGGATGTCATAACTGAATGATTAATGTTCATGGGCAGTAGTGCAATACAAACAATGAGCAATAGTGGCGATAGACCATTTTAAAAGGATAAGGTGGTAAAATACCACATATTCAGTCTTTCTGTACAGAATAGTAGATTAAATGACTGATTTTGCACATGAAAGACAGAACTTAATGGTTTGAAAAGGAGCTAGCCTCACTATGAGAAAGAGAGAAGTCCAGGGATTTGTCACATAAACTAACTACCCAGGTAGTATGCTCAGAAACTTTTGATAAAATGCTGGGTTTGGTTATTCTGGATATCACCTTTGGGACCATAGGCTTTTTTGGCTTTCTTTTGGTTTTGTTTTTTAACCAGTCAAAGAAGGACAATAAAGCTCCAGCTCTGATGATCTTTCATCAGGATGTCTTGTACTGTCAACCAAAACAATTAGAAAATGAGAAGCAGATCAACTGAATGGCATTGAAGAATAATTCTCAGAGGGTATTCTCTTTCAGCTAGGACCTATTGTTCTTTTAAAAACATGATTTACCTGACTTTTCATACTCTGCTAGAGGGTCATGGTAAATGTCTTTCAGAGACCCATATCTCTTATTCAGAAACTGGGATATAAATTCTTACATTGAACATAGGGGTAAAGAAAAGTGAAATCTGGACAGTAGTGCACAACTTTCTTCCTTACAACACATCCTTACTACACTTGAAATACTTATTCAGCTACGTAAAGGAAATACTTAATTGTTACATAAACAGTGTATTTTCTCACCACTACACTTCAGTCATTTTTATTGGTCTGGTAAATAATTTGAACAGTAAATTTCTGTTTCCCTCAGATCAAACCCTCTGTCAGGAGGGAGACCAGAGGTGTTCTTCCTGTCCTGATCCCTGTGGAGCTTCTTTCTGTGAGATGAGAAACAGCCAGGCAAACTGCAGTAAGTAGGTCATGTGCTTCATAATGTCACTGTTTTAGGGTGGTTTAGATTATAATGAGGATGCAGGGTAGGACACAGTGAGTAATACTTTAATTTACTAGCTAATGTGCGTGTGCAGTGATTAAGTTTTGAAAGGGGCAATGTTGAAAGAAAAGCATCATCGTAAGTATGTATATAATATTTGACATGGGGGTTTTTTCCTTCTGTGAATTTTTATATGTTTTTAATGAGTGTTTGCAGTTGCATTTTTTCTTAGCATTTAATGACATTCAGTGCTTACATAAAGTAAACAACATAGTGTAAGTGTAAAGGAGAACCTACTGGTTTATTTTCAAAATATAAAAAAAGCCACATGTTGCTGTATTTATTAGCCTGGAGAATTTTAGCCCCTTTATGAAGGAGTCATTTTGGTATTCAAAGTGACAAAACGAATTGTTCCTCTGTTCAATACCTGTTGTAGAGTATCAGGGTCTTCAACTCTGTGTATCCTTATATCTATGGCCTCTACTATACCACTCCACGCAAGGCTCCTGTACTAACTGTGCTCTTGCTTCTGAATAGCTGTCTTTCCACTTGTGCAATGCAGCAATGTGAACAAGTAATGGAAGTTTACTTGTCTAGGTTTTGAAACTGGGGCAGAACTGTATTCAAAATTATTCAGAATTAATTAAAACTTAGTGTTGTGTTAACACACATCAATTCAGGTCTCCTTGGCACATGGGCAGGGTTGGCTTCACTTATATATGAATGTATAGCTGTAATTGCTTTGTGCTGCAGTTATCTCTGCAAGGTATGGTCTGATACTATATGGTGGCTTGTGTGGATAATGTTATTCCATTTAGGATGGAATGGATGTGGGAAGGTCAACTAGTCCAAACTCCATTGTCTGTGTAGAGCTGTGACTATCACCTACAAGTGTTTGTTTGAGACAGGCACCATTCATGCTGGTGTCTTTAGATGCTGCTGAAGTAAAGGTATAAGATACTTTATAAAGAATAAATGCTTTACATGTACTTCTTTCAATGCTTTGCTTAAATTTTTGTAAAGGAACAATCTTAAGTACCATGTTTAGCATTAGAAGGAATTTAGGTTACATCTTTGGTCAGCTAGCTCAAACTCCTCATCAAATCAGTGCCGATTGAATCATGTGGCCCATGACCTTTTGCAGCTGAGCTTTGAGTATTCTTAAGGTCGGAGATTACAGAATCATTCTGAGAGATCTGTTTCAGTGTTATGCCACTCTCGTCATAAAAGTCTATTTTCCATATAAGTAACTGAAATTCTCTGTGTCACAACTCGTGTCTTGCCTCTCATCCTATCCCTTCACACTTCTAAGAGTCTAGTTGCATCTGCTCGATATCTTCCCATTAGGTAGCTGTTAGGACTAATAAGATCTCCCCTTGAAGATGATCTCCCCTTAAAGATGATCTTCAAGGTCCCTTCCAGCCCAAACCACTCTATGATTCTATGATTTTTGACATGTGATATTTGAATTCTAAAACAATGTTCCTACTCATATCATGGGAAAGCCAAAAGCTTTTTAGTGTAGATGTTTCCTCAAGACTTTATGGGCAACTGTGTGTAATTCTTAATGGGAGTAACACATAATTAGTCTTCTGGATCATCTTTCTTTCTCCCTTGCTGGTCCAGTGAATATTTAATTGTTTATACACAGTGGAACAGCAAGACAGTTTGGGAGAGATTTTCCTTGCATAACATCTAGAAGAACTATTGTCTTTTTTCATATTATTTTTGTTCTTCGCATTTTGAGTTATTTCATCTTTGGTAAGAAGTGAGGGTTCTCATGCAAAATTTCAGTTTTGACAAACCAGTACTTGGTGGCCCAAATAAATATTTGGTTGGAAAATTCCAAAGCATGGCCACATTTCACAGTGTTGAATACGACAGATGTTCTCCGTGTATGATAATATCTGATCAGTTTAGGCTGGCATTATAATGCATTTACAACATATTTAGGATAACAGAACTCTGAAGGGAGAGTGTAAAGAAGACAGAGCCAGGCTATTTCGGGACTCAGTGACAAGATCAGAAGCTATTGGCACAAAATAAAACATAATGAAGCTCTGACCATAAATGCTTTTTTTTACTATGAGTGTGACCGAACACAGGTTGCCCAGAGTGGTTGTAGAGAGTCCGTTCTTGAAGATAGGCAAAAGCTGCCTGGACATAGTTCTGCACAACCTGTTCTATTTGGCTGTGCTTGAGCAAGGGGGGTTGGCCTGCAGAGGCCCCTTGAATCTCAGCCAATCTGTAATTCTCTGAAACATCCCGTTCACTTCTGTTACTATGTTTGGAACTAATTCCTATTTGATAGATACAGCGAGTTAATAATAAACACAGAAAAGTATTAAATACAGGCATAATCTATTTGGTGATGTCTTGGGTTTGCTGGTTTTTGGTTTGTTTGTTGTTTTTTTTTTTTTTAATTTAGGATAAAAGATGCAACTCATTAGGTTGTGTTCACAAGTATTATAAATAAGGGACTAGCAAGATCTCCTAAACTGTAGGACAGGCTTGGAAAGATTGACATTTGGATTATTTAAAATGAGTCAGATGTTTCCCTGGAGTGTATGTTCTGTTTGTTACTCTGTGGATTGTAGGGAATTGAGAGTTGAAGTTATTATTTTCAAACCTACAATGACACTTTTGCGCATAATGTAACAGAATCCTTCTAAATCCAGTGTGAAAATTATTGAAAGTCGTATTGAAAACACGTAAAGAGCTATCCTCCAGGGGCATTTCAGTGGACTATATTTTCTTCTAGAATTCACTAAAACCCTATAAATATGAGCCATAATAAAAGAGAATGATATAAGCGCATTTCAACTCTGTAATCTTGAGTAATGTTATGTGACACAAACACTTAAAATAGTGCATGTACTTCTGTATTAATCCTGAAGTACTGATGACATTTAATATTCTGTATGGATCAAGAAAAGGTACTTACTGGGGAAAATCAAAAGACAAGCCCAAACTGGGCGTCTGAGGCTGAAACGTGGGAGGACTACGGATGGTTCCTCGTGAAGAAAAGGAAGTGGCAGTAATGTGAGGAGAATTGAAGTCATTGAGCCTCATATACCCCAAAGATGCGACTGAGGCATTTGAGACAACAGAAATAGTTCAGAATTGGTGGTATGCAAGGATTTAGCAGAGAGGAAAAGCTGTATACAAAATGAGCTTTGTGATCATCAGATTAGAGGTAATAGTAAAAGAAGTTAGAAAAGGAAATGCAAGACCAAGAAAGAGTGGACAGTTCTGCTGATCAGCTGAATAATTGACTGTTGGATCTTCTCTCAACTTCCTCTGAAAGATCCTGCTATGGGATGACACAGTTGCCACACTGTGCTAGCAACTGATACTAGCTGGCAGAGTATATTAATCATGTTAAGTTATACTTTCTTCCAGAACAGGCAAATATTTGAGTCTTTAGATAACAAATCACTTTTGAATTGTACCATTTTTCATGGAAAATTTTCTCGTATAGTCAGAGTAAATAAATTTAAATAATTTCAGATTGGTCTCATTGCTAAATAAAAAGCTGAATTTCAGTCTGAATTGAAGTGAAATTCTGTAGTTTTCTGTTGTGGTGGTAAATTGAAAAATTACGTTTTTGACTTCCAATTTGAGAAGAAATACAAAAGCTGTGCAATTTTTAAAATCCACAGTACTAGATCAGTTCGATATTTCTTGGGATAAACCCCTGTAAGTTGGACAATTTTTGTATATAGCTATAGTCTCTATAATCATATAGACCTGTAGCTGTTGCATTCATTTTGCCCTTGCTTATCATTCTCTTTATTATTAATGATGTCGTATCTGAATTAAATTATTAGCATGTAGACTGTCTCTTGCTTAGTGCTTGTGCAATACATAAACTAATTGTCCTCATTCTTCCTTCAGATCTTGGTATGCAAAAAATAAAATTAAAAACCAAATTCTATATTCTGTTTTCTATCCAGAGAAATTGTGCAGTCTCTGTCATTAGAGATTTTTTTAAGACCTGACTGAATAAAGCCTTGAGAAACCTTATTAGTCCTCAGAGCTGACCAAGCTTTGAGCAGGACATTGGACTAGAAACTTTGTGAGATCCTTTCCAAGCCAAGTGTCCAATGATACCTGTTTTCATAATTTTGTTAATTGCACTGTCAAGATGAGTTGTGTTATGGTAGCATTGTAAGTACACCAATAGGAAGTGTGTTGCTATAAAGTACAGGAACTCTTGAAAATAATCAGAAAAGATTATTGATCTTTTTGATTTAAAAAGAAGAAATCTGTTTTCAAGGATGGCTTATTGTACCACATTCAAGTTAAGACATTGCTCAGGAAATTAATGCATATTAATAAGGAAATATCAGTCTCTTAATAGTTTTGTGAGATAGGCAGAAGTCAAGCCCACCTTTACTGGAATGAGAACTCATATTGGGTCTTAAGCTCTGGAACTTGTTTCTCATGCCCGAGAGGAAATCCCCTGACTAATAAATTTGTTAAATACATATGGAATTATTTCTGCTGTATTTAATTGCATCTCACACCATTTGTGGTTTTGTTTGTTTTCTTTCTGCAACAGGTCAGTGTGAACCAATTACTCTGGAACTTTGTATGAACTTGCCCTACAACTATACTTACTACCCAAACTACCTGGGCCACAGGACGCAGAAGGAAGCCTCTATCAGCTGGGAGTCTTCTCTTTTCCCAGCCTTGGTTCAGACCAATTGCTACAAGTACCTGATGTTTTTTGCCTGTACGATCTTAGTACCAAAATGTGACCCTCATACAAATCAGCGGATTCCACCTTGCAGGTACTATACTATAGTTAATTTAATTCTTGACTTTGTCTGTCCTATTAGCCTTTCACAGTTTTATGCTTCCACTGAAAATGCCAGAAATTTTGGTTTGGAATTCCGTAGCAAATGGCAGAGAACTGTATTTTATAAGTTTATTAATGCAGTTCATTACATGTGTTTGTTTAGCATCTAAAGTATTCAGAAAAAGAAAAGAAATGACAGTTAATTTATTTTCAAAATGTATATATAGAATAGATTAGACTATTTCAGTTGGAAGAGACCTACAATGATTATCTAGTCCAACTGCCTGACCACTTCAGGACTGACCAGAAGTTAAAGCATGTTATTAAGGGCATTATCCGAATGCCTCTTAAACACTGACAGGCTTGGGGCATTGAACACCTCTCTAGAAAGCCTATACCAGGGTTTGACCACACTCTTAGTAGAGAAATGCCTCCTAATGTCCAGTCTAAACCTCCCTTGGCGCAGTTTTGAACCGTTCCCATGTGTCTTATCACTATTTCCCGGGGAGAAGAGATCAGCATCTCCATCTCATTGTCATCTCCTCAGGAGGCTGTAGAGAGCTTGTCTCCAAAGTAGACAAGGCCAAATCCTCAGCCACTCCCCATAGGAGATTCCTTTCTCCAGCTTTGTTGCTCTCCTCTGGAGGTGCATTTAGGGACCTTCACACCCTTCTTAAATTGTGCAGCCCAGTGCTGCGCACAGTGTGCAAACTGAGGCTGCGACAACACCGAATACAGCAGGATAATCACCTCTTTTCACTGGCTAGTAACACTTGTGTTTGATGTGCCCCAGGACATGGTTTGCCCTGTTGGCTGCCTGGGCATGTTGCTGACTCACACTGAATCTGCTGTTGACCAGCACCCTTTCTGCAGGGCTGCTCTCCAGTTTGTGTCCAGCATTACTCCATCCTAGGTACAAAATCTGGCATTTGTTGTTAAATTTCATGGCCCTGATGATGGACCAATGCTCCAGTTTATCTAGATCTCTCTGCAAGGTCTCTTGTCCCTCAAGAGAGTTAACAGCACCTCCTGTTTTGGTATCATCAGCATCTTGCTGATGGTGCTTTAAACTGCTGCATCCAGACCTGCTATATTGAGCAGGATTGGCCCTAAAATTTAACGCAAAGGAACAGCACTGGTGACCAGTCACCAGCCAGATGTAGCACTTTCACTAGGACTCTTTGAGCTTTGCCCTTCATCCACTTCTTTAACCAGTGCACTGTGAACCTGCTGACTCCACTATTGGCAAAGTTGACAAGAAGGATGCTGTGAGCTTTGTATGAAGCATTTTCCATTTCTGTGTGTTTGATTAGAATTGCACCACTATAAAGGGTATTTAAACATAGAATTGATTAATTTATTTGGAACACTAGCATTTGTAATAGTTCCTTACATTAGTACATGACTCTATGAAAAGTTCTATCTAACTGCTATTGACAACTGACATTTTAATGCATGTTTGCCTTTCTAAATTAGGAGTGCCATATCATTCTGAATTACTGACTAACTTATGTTTTTTACTTGTCAGATTAACTGTTCTACCATCCTCATCAAGTAACATCACTGTACTTTTTAGAGCCTGTATTTGTTCAAAAGAGACTGTGTTCTGTAAATCTCGTGGCTTTGGTAGCAGCAGTTGTTGCAGATTAGGAGAGCTAATAAACCTGAGCAGCAGGCAGAGCTCTTTGAGCTACTGGCTGCTAGAGCCTTCTCATACTGTATTTCTGCCTCTTTTATTGGGCCTACCTTGACAATATTTATCAATTAACATGTACTGCATTGAAAGAAAAGTGCACTGAAAATTGCAATGCATGTTCTAAATTTCCCTGGCTAGGAATTATTAACTTCCATTATCTGGGAATTTCTAAGACGTTAACTCAGTTACTTTGTGCAATTCCATTTTGTCTCCTCAGGACATTATGTGTACAGTCTAAGGAACGCTGCGAGGCTGTTCTTGGGATTGTAGGTCTGCAGTGGCCAGAAGATACAGACTGCACTCAGTTTCCAGATGAGAACTCAGACAACCAAACTTGTCTAACACCAGATGAAGATGTAGAAGGTATCTCCTATATATATAACAGCAAATTAAAGATTTAAATAGGTTCCCAAGTTCATACCTTCTTTTTAATTATAATATTTAAACTGTGGAAATTATTCCAAACTGAGTTTCATGAAATTTGGATACCTGAAGTTTGCAGATAAGAGGAAGTTTTCATAAGAAGTCTGTTTGAAAGAAGGTTCAATTACCCTCGATCTGTGAAAGTCAGTGTTTTGAGATTTGCTGCCAGCACCACACCTACTGCTTGCTTGTTATAATATTTCAATTTTTTATCTTCTTAGGTGATCTAATAATGCTTTTCTAAGCAAGAGGTAGACCCTTGACAGTCTCTAAAAACCTGATTCACTGGTTGTTGACCATCTTAGCTCCAAAACAGATACTCCTGGAAAATCAATGAAAAAGGAGGAGGAGTTAGTATTCTTTTAGTAAAGGTCTAACTAATTCAGAGGTCTTATCAGAGTTCTTTTGGGTTCACTTACTACAAGAATTTTATGCTTATTCTATGCCTGCATTCTACTGACTACCAGTGTTGGTTAGAAAGTCTTTCCTGGGAAGTGTAAATATTTTGTGGAAAAGCACATGTAACAAAAGAAATTAAGCATCTGAGAACATTTAAAATGTTTGTGATTATGACATATAAGTGATTTTCCAACTTAAGCAGTAAATAACAGAGTTATTACAATGTGCTGAATTCCTTAACTTCTCTTCCAGTCAGTGTTGAATCCAAGAATACCACTGGCCAAGACAGTAGGCATTATAAACTCAATTATTTTCATAATGAACTATTCTTAAATGCTGGCAGTGAAGTTCACATACCTTTAATCATTAGAATGTAATTTCCTAAGGCTCCCAGTTTAACTGATGACATTTCTGATACAACTGTTTATTGAATGTTAAAATTTACCCAAGGAACTACATGCTATTAAACATCTGAGGGATTTTTCAGCAAGGAAAAAAAGAAGGCAACATGTGATGGAGGTTGTACATCAAAGTCAGTTACATACATGATGTGAAAAAATGGGTGGGTTATCAAAACCACCTAAATAAAGGTTTTTCATAGAATCATAGATATACAGAATAGCTTGGGTTGAGGGGGACCTAGTGCCAGAAGGGATCATCTAGTTCCAACCCCCTCCTGCCATGGGCAGAGATGTCTTCCACTAGACCAGGTTGCTCAGAGCTCATCCAACCTGGTCTTGAACACTTACAGGGATCAGACATCTCCAGGTTCTCTGGGCAACCTGTTCGAGTGCCTCAACACCCTCACAGCAGTGAATTTCTTCCTAATATCTAATCTAAAGCTACTCTCAGTTTGAAGCCATTCCTTCTTGTCCTGTCACTACATGCCCTTGGAAAACATTCCTCTCCATTTTTCTTGTAGGCTCCCTTCAGGTACTGAAGGCTGCAATTAGGTCACCCCAAGGCCTTCTCTTTTCCAGGCTGAACAATCCCAATTCTCTCAGCCTTTCCTCACAGGAGAGGTGCTCCATCCCTCTGATCAACCTGGTGGCCCTCCTCTGGACTTACTCCAACAGCTCAATGTCCCTCCTGTGCTGGGGACCCAGAGCTGGATGCAGCACTGCAGGTGGGGTCTCACAAAAGCAGAGTAGAGGAGCAGAATCGCCTCCCTCGACCTGCTGCCCCCACTGCTTTTGATGCAGCGCAGGATACAGTTGGCTTTCTGGGCTGCAAGGGCACATTGCTGGGTCACGTCCAGCCTCTCATCCACCAGCCTCTCATCCACCACCCAATCCTTCTAGGCAGGGCTGCTCTCAATTCGTTCATCCCCCAGCCTGCGTTGGTACTGGGAGTTGCCCTGACCCAGGTGCAGCACTTTGTACTTGGTCCTCTTAAACTTCATGAGATTCCCATAGACCCACTTCTCAAGCTTGTCCAGGTTCCTCTGGGTGGCATCCCATCCTTGAGGTCTGTCAACTGCACCACTCAGTGTTGTGTCATCTGAAAACTTGCTGAGGGTACTCTTTTCATCCATGTCATTAGTGAGAATATTAAATAGCACTGGTCCTAGTAAGGACCCCTGAGGGATACCACTCGTCACTGATATCCATTGGGACTCTGAGCCATTGACCATTACCCTCTGGATGTGACTATCCAACCAGTTCCTTATCTACCTAACAGTCCACCCTTCAAATCCATCTCTCTTGAATTTAGAGAGGAGGATGTTTTAGGGGACCTTGTCAAAGGCTTTACACAAGTCCAGGTAAATAATATCTGTAACCCTTCCCTTGTCCACTGATGTAATGACTCCATAGTAGAAAGCTACTAGGTTGGTCAGGCAGGACTTGTTCTTGGTGAAGCTGTGCTGGTGTCTTGAATCACCTCATCCTCCATGTGCCTTAGCATGGTTTCTACGAGAATCTGTTCCATGATCTTCCCAGGCACAGAGGAGAGGCTGGCAGGTCAGTAGTTCCCAGGGTAGTAGCAGGTAGTAGTTCCCAGTAGTACCCATTTTAAAGATGGGTACCTCAAACTTCACCTGACTGCTAAGATTTTTCAAATGTCATGAAAAGTGGCTTGGTAACTACATCAGCCAGGTCCCTCAGAACTCTTGGATATATCTCATTGGGTCCCATGGAGTTAGGTACATATCTCAGGTCATCATGAACCTGATCTTTACTTAGATTTGGAAGCATTTTTCTGCCCCATCCTCATCTTGCTGTCTATCCACTTGAGAGATGTGCAAGGAGAGGTTGCCATTGAAGACTGAGGCAAAAAAGTTGTTGAGTACTTCATCCTTCTTGTTAACAGTTTATCAGCATTGTTTACTGTGGGAAGTTACACCTTCTTTGACCTTTTCTGGTTAACATACCTGTAGAAGCTCTTTCTGTTATTCTTTGCATACCTTGCCAGGTTCAGTTCCAGCTTCACCTGGGCCTTCCTCTCCCCATCCCCACACAGCATAACTTCATCTCTATATTCTTCCTAAGTTACCTGTCCTTGTTTCCACTGTCTGTACATTTGCTTCTTTTCCTTTAGTTTGACCAGCAGTTCCCTACTCAGCCATGCCAGTCTCTTGCCTTCCTTGCTGGATTTCTTGCTCCTGGGGATTGCTAGCTCTTGCACTCAATGGAAGACTTCCTTAAAGATCTTCCAGCTCTCTTCTGCTCTCTTGTCCCAAAATGGTACTCTAAGATGAGGCACAAGCAAGGGTTAATTAGTGGACATTTATAGGTGGTTTTATTAGTTTGAATAAACACAAAATTTTCAAATTTTTTTTTATCCTGAGGATATATCTTTATATATTTCTTATACTCATTTCAATGCATCTCACAACACCACAACGGTGAGAAGAGCGGCTAGAAAATCCATACCCGCAACCTAAATGTTGTATGCCAGTTATTTGTCAAAGCGGTGAAATCTGACAGAGGGCAGCATGTGAGGGAGAGCTCTGCAACACGTTGCTCCACCCCATTCACAGCTCAATTATTAAGTGTCTTGTCTGCTACATAGTTCCAGTCTAGTATCACACAAGCTTTTTATTTCTCTCATTTACCCTTCCAAAACAGCCACAGTGATAAGTGCCCATGTCGTGATTAAACTTGAGCTTATGGAGAGTTGTTTCTCCCTGTTTCTTGTCATTGACAGAATGCTCACCCAGTCACTTCAAGTGCCGTTCTGGGAGGTGTGTCCTGGCATCCAGAAGATGTGATGGTCAAGCTGACTGTGAGGATGATAGTGATGAGGACAGCTGTGGTAAATATATTCAACGAGTTGGAATGGAGGGTAGCTGCAGCATTAGAAAATGAGTTTTGTTCTTCCTTCAGTGTTGGGTTTTTTTAAGATAGTGTCAGTAAAAATACTTTAACAAGAATCCTTCTTGATCAATGTGAATACAACTTACAATATTTGATAATTCAGATTCTGCTAACCATATTCCAGGATGTTTAAGTATTCCTTCAGTAATCAAGCTAAAAACATTCTGCAGATTTAATTCTTTTGACATTGCTGGAGATTCTACTGGTAACTCCCTGGCAGATTAAATCTTGAATCCATAAATGTAGTTTTAAATTTATACATGACAATGTTTTCACTATGATGTATTGACAAAAGGTCTGTGTTGCTGAAGTGGACTCTGTGCTGCAAGGTCAAGAATTACATGTTTTCTTGGATTGGTCAACTTCAAGCTCTAAGTGCAAGCATAGAACCACGAAGTTTATTCCCCAATATGTTTCTGAGTTTACTTATAGTAGAGAAGCTTTTGACTTTTAACCAAAGGGGATGTATTGAGCTTGAGAATAATCAACAAATCTCTTGGTCACTGTGTATCCTTGCACATGCTGGCAGGAGAATTTTGAGAAGGAAAAAGCAGTTTAAACTGTTTCTTTATGTGACTAAAGGGTAGCCATCCAGGAGGTCTACATGCACACCTGGCATCTCTAGGGGCAAAGAGAATAATAATGCATCACTAAGGATTTAGAGAAGAGATGTGCATATGAGTAAAGATTGAAAAACATTCCAGCAGAGCAGGGCTAAGGTGCACAAGCTGGTTTTTTTCTTTAACAGAGAGTGGGTTAAGATGGTAGCACAGTTTATATGAACAACAAAACTGTGGCAGTAAGAAAGTTTCTACTCAGATGCACAAAAATAAGATAAAATCAAATCCAAAACCAGAAAGCTGAAGCTAGGCTAAAATTCAAGCTTGTCAGCCCCATGGAGTGCTTCTCTTTTAAAAGCAGGTTGTTTTAATGTTTGCAGTAACCAAGGGGTTATTTATTACTAAGGTGTGATGTGTTCTCAGTCTCTGGGAGTTTCCAAATCACGCTTGTATTCTCTCTCTCTATCTTTCTTTCTTTCTTTCTTTTTTTCTTTTTCTTTCTTTTTTTTCTTTCTTTCTTTCTTTTTTTTCTTTCTTTCTTTCTTTTTCTTTCTTTCTCTCTCTCTTTCTCTGTCTCTTTCTTTCTCTTTTCTTTCTTTTACTTCTTTCCTTACTTCTTTCCTTCTTTCTTTCCCCTCCCCCTGTAAAAAGAAAGAAAGCTCTCTGAAATACAATTTAATACTTGGTGATTCTCTTGTTTGGATTATGAAGGAAAGTCAGAGGTGATGATCACAGTGAGTCTTTCAGAGTTTGTCGTCTCTTTACCTTTGAATCAATTGTCGTCCCTTACAAATATTCTTTGTTGCCACCAATTTTGAACTCCTTAGAAAACTAATTGTTATGTGTCTTTTAGCATAATTTTTTTCTCCTAGACATTAACATATGAAATATTGTTCTAATATGTAACATTCATTTCTCGAGTGGACCTCTCTCTGTCTCTACAGTCTAGACAGAATGTGACAAGTAATCAGCAGAATTCTTATCAGTTTCTATAAATATGGAAGACTGTATCTGCTAGGAAATTACTGCTGTCAGAGTGACATTACATTGACCAGGGGTAATACTGTTACTGAAGAACAAAAAGTCCTTGTAGAGCTCCAGAAGTAACTCCGATTCATTCATATTCCATGTGTGCAGGACAAAATCAAAACGTGATGATCTTTTCATGTGTAAATTGCTAGCTCAAATTTTATTAGATTTATTCTTTGGAATTGGTTTTATAACATTAAGTAACACTCAGCATTTAATTTAAAAACCTTGTATTTGAAGTACCTTAAATGATAGACATAGAACAACTTCCCAGTGCAGGGAGAAGGCAGCTGGAAAAGAGTAGCTACAGCTTTCGTATGCTTAAAAAAAATCGAAGTCCAAAAAATGTAAGTAAGAACAGTCCAAAGACAATGTGGTATATTCTACCCGTGCAGAGCACAGCTGTATTCATCACCCACTGTCTCCTTCTGTTAGGAGTCCCTTTCATGTGATCTTTGTGACAGAAAATCATACCCATGCAATTGCAGTTAAATCCTAGGATTTACTTGTCATTTAAACTGGGATTTGGGGGAAAATTTAACCCAGATTTCTGAAGATGAGACTTCTGAGTGCATTTCAGTAAAGTGTAGGAAAAGTAATTTCTGAAAAATATTATGAAAGACATCACGAGAGTTTGTGGTATTAAATATAGTTGATTGTAATTGATTGTATTAATTTGCTGGCTGCTGAACAATACCCCTGGCAGGGAGCAGAAGAGCGTCCTACAACTACTAAAGAAATCGAGGACATTAACTTTCAAAACCAATACTGTCTTTCACTATTTTCTGCAATCTGGGCACTGACTGTAGTATTTTAGTTGAGAGAAAAATGTGGTGGTCTTAACAATAATGACTTAATATTTATTGCATGGGAAATGTATACATGAATAACAAACGGTAACTTCCTTCATATTTTGAAGAAGAATGAAGGTAAGAGCATATGTGAAACCCTGTCTCTTGTCAAAACATATTTTTGAGATGGGGACAATGTAAATATGGCCAAGTTTTCCTACCTCCATTTTCGCTTCCTTTTCATTGTCATTAAATTAAAAATGCATGTCACAAAAATAATTAGAGATGAAATAGAAATACTGCAAATGGTAGATGACCTCTATCAACAAAACATATTTGAACACTTAATTCAGTAAGTAGTGAATCTTTTTCTAGGGAATTGTCTCTGTATTTGTCTATGTTGTACTCAAACATAAGTTTTGGAGAGTCATGCTACACTTCACAGTGGAACACTGTGTGATGAAGGGAAAAGGCAAACATTTATTTAATGAATTGTAAACACTACTAAAAAATTGCGAAGTTCATGAATTATGGGGGTTTTAAGCTTTCTTATTTTCATATTGTCTAAGTTTTGATTTGGCTCCCTGCCAAGTCCCCAAGACCCAGCATAGAAACCTCCGGCAAAGAGCAAAAGAGAAAAAAAACTATGAAAAAAAAAATCCAGACTAGCCGAACTATATTAAAATATATATGTATTTACATATAGTACAGTTATATACAGTTGAAATACTATATACAATCCCGAAAGGGAAGGGGGGAAAAAGGGACAAAAAAACTCCAGACATGTACATTCAAAAACTCAGAATCTAGCAAACTAAAGAATTAGCAAAAGAATATCTTACTACTTTCCTTGGGACAACAGAAATTGTGCTGAACGACCGCCGGCACGCTACCGGACCCGGGATCGGCAGAAACAACAGGCCCCGTAGGCCCGACCAGGCCTCAGCTCCCCCACAGGAGCGAGACCGACCTGCGGGAGTCTGCTGTCTCCAAACCTTGCCGGAAGGGAAGAGAGGAAGAGACTTCTCTCTCTGTCTGTTTATATGTTTGGTTACGTAAAGGAATAGGATGGAATTCTTCCTTTCTTCCTTCCTTCCTGGCAACCGGGAAGGAAGGCCTAAACTCAAAACCGTTACACATATCAAGTTCCTAACATGACTACATTCTTTGTTCTTTATTAGAGTAAAGATTCTGTTTGGTTTCAATTAATTTTTCATTAATAGTTAACAAAAATATTGTCAAGCAGGAGACCTGGCAAATGGTGATACCCAAGAAAATTCTTTGATCATGAGGAATTAGTTTCAAGGGTTAAGGCTATTTATTTCTCTGTGCTGTAACATTTATTTACATGTTTTTTCCAATCTGAACAAGATCAAGCACTCCACATGACCAGTTCCAGTAAAAACCTGAGTACACTTTACCAGTAATCCAGTAGTGATTCTCTGGTGCATATTTGTAGAAAACTCGCTTCTGAATTAAAAATTCTTGGAAACAGTGTATTTGGTTAGTAACTTAGTGCTGATAAACTGCTGTAGTTCTAGGTCCAGGCAAACAGAGGTGCTGCTTTAAATGCTGTTTGTAAATTTATACCTCAACTATTTCCATGTAGGGACATCAGGGCTGTCACTTGAATTTCCGCTTGAAATAAAATGAAAAGCGTCATCTGTAGAACAGGTCAAACAAGGCAATCAAATAATCTGTTTTAGTCAGGAAAACATAGTTTTTATGGCTTCCTATAAAACTGGAGTGTCAGACATGCAGGACATTAGTATGTCGAAGTATTTAAACTGTTACCACAATTAAGTGCTTTATTAATTGATGGAAATAAAAAGTGGAATAAAACAAGAGAAAACTCTTTTCTAAAATGTAGTTTGGACCATTCTTAATTTCCTCTAGATGACTAGCAGGAATTTTACTGTCAAAGCACTTTGACATAGTTTTGTAAGTATTCCTCTTGAAATCAGAGAGGCTGGTTAGCAGGACTGAGGAAATAATAATGCCCTGGGTACCCTGCATTATAATGCAGGGAAAATTGAAGTTTCATGTAGCTTTCAAATTGGCTTGGTCTCAGACCATGGAACCAGGACTACTGTTTATGGTCAATACTTAACAACTCTTTCTACCTTTCATTGTGATTCTGCGTTAGGTTCTGTGTCAGCACTGCCAAAAAAAAAGTATGTATTTCTACATGTGTTTCATGGAGATACCATGCTTTCATAGGATTTGCTTTTGAAAGATCAAAGGTCTGTGTGGTATGCTTTTAAAGGAATTTCTACAAACTTGAGGATTAGAAAAGTTCTTATATTACTAGTAAGTGTATTTCAAGAGTAGTGGTGTATGGGTTTTGAGCTAATTGAGCTAGTGCCTAAACCATTGGTTATAGATATGTGCAGCATAATATAATTATTATTTAAAAAGCAGTGAAGTATTATGAGGTGTTATACATTTTAGATCCATTTATCAAGTGTGCACTCTGACAATCTTTTTTCCATTTCTTCATTAGTAACTATTCTTGGTACCTCCTAAAGTTTTTACTGCAAGTGAAAATATTGAGTGTGTTTCAGGACTTTTAAGGAAAAAGAAAACAGTTCGTTTGATATTCCATGCAAGTGTTTCAGAGCTGTGCTTCTCTGCCTCCAGGTTGTAGAGAAAGGGGCCTGTGGGAGTGTCCTTTGAAGAAGCTGTGCATCAAACACACTATGATCTGTGATGGTTTCCCAGACTGCCCTGACATGATGGATGAAAAGAACTGCTGTAAGGACTTATGCAGTTTATTAGTCCCATAAAGGGCTAATCACATTTTTGGGATGTTGGGGTGCAAAATAAATGAAAGTAAAAATGTTTTCATGTGTTCCACAGGTAGAAAGGCTTAGTCATTCCCTCAGTTTCCTTTTCAGTTTTTCTATGGCACCAATTTATTTCTTTCCTCATCTTGTGTCCTCTGTTGTTCTCATACTTGGATCCTTGCTGTCCCTTTGGTCACTCTGGTCCTCCTTAGTTTTTATTCTCTCTCTCCCCCTCCTTGGTTTTGTGTCTTTGTACTTCTTTTCTTTATTCCTTGTAGCCTTTTGACTCCTTTTCTCAACATTTCTCAATGTTATTCCATGCAGGCATAGCTACTTGCTGCTCTTTTTTTCTTGATTTCTACTTGATTTTCCTTCTGATCTCTTCATCGGTAAATTTCATATGTTTCACTTCTTTATTTGATTTCCCTTCTGATTGACAGTTCTTAGATTGTCTCCCCACATGGCTCCAAAGACTTCTGCAATCCAAACTGTAATAACTGTCAAGGTACAAAACTTAGTATGGTACACTGATGGCACGGGCATGCTGTCCGTGTGCACAGCGTAAGCTGGCTCAAAGTGCTGACAGGATGCAACAGGCTCCCTGGTCCACTGCAGGGCTGTCCTGTGCTCTCTTGCCACCGTGCCACTGACTAGTGGGATGGGCAGAGATGGAAGACCTGCAAGCAGCAGCTTCTTTGCAGGCTCCCACTCTGTGTATGAAGCTGGGAGTGGGTGCTGTGAGATGTTAGCTTCACTTTCATGAATATATTAGTGGTACCCTGAGTTCTCTTCTTTTGAGAAAACCTGGTGTATGGGCATGTCCCCAAGACAAGGAACTAGAAAAGACATACTGGGTGACACTCAGCCTGCACAAGGAAGAAGACATGGTCGATTGGTGAAGTTGGTTGAAAACTGAAGTTTTCATTCTCTGGGTAATCCTGGTATTTCATCATTTTTGCTGGGATGTTAGGATGCAATTTTATGATTTAAAAAAAAGTTGCTTCTGAGTCTCTGGACTTCTGTTGTCAGGGACAGGATAGTAGGCACATTTTATGTACTAAATGGAGCATATTAATATAATTGCCAGAATGATCAGCAGGCTGCATATATCATGAAATTAACCCTTTTTTTTTTGGGGGGGGGGGGAAGAGGCAGCTCTCAAAACACTTCTTAATCTACTTTTAATTATGAAGATTATACCATTTGACTTCCAAGATGTGTGCTGTAATCTGAAAAAGTGAATTAAAGTGACTCAGGATCACACATTAAGATCATGGCAGGGAAAAGATTACAGAAGAGCTAATGTTAAGCTAGTTTATAATTAGCAGAGTAGGTTTCTTCTCTGTTTTTGTACTGGGGCTTGAATATTCTAAATGGAAGCGAAGTTTCCCCAGTTGAATTATACTGTCTCTGGAAGGCAGAATTAGAGAGCTTTTTATGGTTATACATGCTTTATTCCAGAGCCAGAAAGATCACTTATGTCAGGGTAGGCAGCACTGCCTGCTCTGTCTGTATGGTTTTCACTGTGGAGTATACTTTCTGCAGTTGTGTTGTAAATAAATGCTTGGATTGTATGGCAGTATAAATGCTGTACATAAGCCAAACATAGACACAACTGGAAGGCACTTCCTTCCACGTATTCTCTCCCTCTCTGCCCTCCCCCAGCTCTAGAATTTTCTAATGATGGAATTTATAGAAGCTAGAAATGTGTTAGTGAGGAGGGTACTGTAATGCCTTTTGGGAGGGGGTTTGTTATGATTTGGGGAAAGCTGGAAGTCACTTGCAGGTGGAAGCTCTTGTAGTTCCGGTGCTGAACAGACTCTGGAAATACCTATCTCATGCTGTCAGCTGGCAAAAAACTGTGGACCGAAAGCATGTCTATCTGTACAGCAGTTCCCCTCTCTAAAGTGGAGATAAAAATAAATCCATAATTTTAAAAAGCAAAGGAGAATCCAAAAATTGATATAGAATTCCTGTGGATGAGAGGAAATATATATTGATTACAGTAAAACATTTTTTCAAAGAACATGAATAGTTAAACAAATATGGGGTAGTCTGCAAAAAAGCATGGAACACAATATTTTTACTTAGAGCTTCTAAGAGGCTTAGACAGGTATCAATATTTTTACTTAGAGCTTCTAAGAGGCTTAGACAGGTATCATATGACAAGACCACAAATGATATTAAGTAATTTTGCATCTTGCATTTCCAGACACTCCTTCTTCCCTTTGAGTTGTGATGCCCTCTGCCACTGCATGGCAGCAACCACCTTCTGCCTCAGTGATGTCCATGGTGAATTTTGTGCCAAATCTGTCTCACTTTCTTGCTCCCTAAATCTGGTCTTCACCCTCCTCATTTGTTTAGTCTCAATGTAAACTTCACAATTGATCACTTACTTCTGAGAGGGAAACATGTTTTTGTCCTTGCAGCATTCTGTGAAGAGAGTGAACTTGAATGTGCCAACCATGAATGTGTGCCACGTGAGCTCTGGTGTGATGGGCAGGCAGACTGCAGTGACAGCTCAGATGAATGGGACTGTGGTAAGTTTCCCCTCTGGGGTGCTTTCAATTGATGTTTGGGTGATGGTAGTAGTCACTGGTAATTTGATTTAGAATACAATTGCAGTGGTGGAGGGATGCTCCCTCTATTACCAAAGGAAAGACTGGATTGAGGTTGGGAAAGCATCCAAGCAAGTGGGCAAAAGAGAAAGCAAAGACTCAGTGAGAAGTGTCACAGTGCAAATATATAAGAAAAGTGATATGGCAGGGAAATGTGTAGGTAGTGTGGAAAATGTTGTGGATAGAAGAGCAAGTAGGAAGATGCTGAGACTAGGAAGGCCATTTTGAGAAATCTTTTTGTACGTCATAAAAGCAGTTCATAAAATTTGATATACTGAGTAAGAGAGAAGCAATGGTAATGATCATTCTTGTAAATAGTAGTTGTTTTTTTCTATCTCTATACCCACAAATTGTTATGACAGGAACAGTACGTGTTACCAAGACTGAAATCACTCTTATGTTAAGCAGCATTCATCCCAGAAATTACTTCAGTGGGATGTACTATCTGTGGGGTAAAACATCATTTTACAAGATTAAATGCTACCAATGTCTCATCCTGTTCAATCTTAACAAGGTTCTGATAGCTGCGGTTGCCTTGGTTTTAAATTGCACAGCTATTCAGCCTATAAACCCAGGAAAAGTGCTGGCATCTTGGAAAACTCTTTTTAATGTAGTTGTATGTTTTCAGTTTGCCATTTATAAAACTATGTGAAATAACAGTGAAGTTTTCCTCCTTTTTTCTTTCCAGTTACCCTGTCTAAAAACATGAATTCCTTGATGCTCCTGACCATTCACAGGTCAGCTACTGATAACCATGTTTGTGCTGATGAGTGGCAAGAAAACTTAAGCCAACTGGCCTGCAATCAGATGGGTTTAGGGTAAGGTCAGTAGTTTGTAGCTTTGATAAATTTCTTAGGACAATTGGAGTGCTGGAGTTAGATATTATCATTATCACTGCCATGTTAGACTTAGTGTGGAAATCATTCACTGAGAAAAGAGGTAAAGAAATTTTGTAAACTATGGCAGGAACAGAAGTTCACTAAAACCTTAGGCGCTTTCACCACTTTATAAACATTGCATGATTGTTACTAAAAGAGTGTGTTGAACAGATAATGTCTTGCCAAGTCTCAATATTTGAACTTGCAGTTATTGCTGAGGCTCAGAATTGTTTGGCAGTGTGATACTCTGTTTCTTCCTGAAGAATTACAACAGACTTAGAAAACACAGGAAAATTTCATTTATTTGCATTCTGCAACAAATACTTGTGAGTTAGGCAAGCGGATATATTTAACTTGGGTATCTCTGAACAATGAATTGTTAAAAATAGAGCTTTCTTTGTGGAACTCAGAAAAAGAAATAGCCTCTGTGTGTCTTTCTTATTGCACGCACACTAATGTAATAGCTGCTTTGTGGAATAGTTGATGCAAATATAACTTGGGAAAAAACCAAGTTCATCTATTCTGATATCCAGCTGTCTACTACTAAGAAAAGACAAATCTGATGGTATATAAGGATATCTTTTGTCGGTGTCTGATCCCCAAACTGGATTAAGAAGTGTCTTTTCTATTTGTCTTTCACCACTACACATACTGACATGTAATCTTGTTCTTTGTACCTTTCTCAAAATACACAGGAGAATAAAGACTCTGGGTTACACTTAACCTACTGTATATTGCCTTGCACTGCATGGATACTTGACTTCGGTTGTTGTAACACCCTGCATTCAAGAACGTCTGTAAATGGATTGCCTGCCATTCTAACACACAAAGATTCTATACTCCTCTAGCTAGTTTAGTGTATATAAATAATATTTACATTATGTTTTAACCTTATATAACATCCTAATAAAGCTTAAAATGCTTTGATACCTTCAGAAATAGTTACCGATTTTACAACTTTGTTTTCTAAGAACAAAGCACTGGTCTTAACATTAAGAATGTTTTTCTTCTTCATAATTCAGTTCATAGAATCATAGAATCATAGAATATCCTGAGTTGTCGGGAATCGATCAGGATCATCAAGTCCAACTCCTGGCCCTGCACAGGACACCGCAAGAGTCACCCCATGTGCCCCAGAGTGTCATCCAAATGCTTCTTAAATTCTGTCAGGCTTCGTGCCATGACCACTTCCCTGGGGAAGTTCCAGGGCCCAACCACCCTCTGGGTGAAGAACCTTTTTCTGATCTCCAACCTAAACCTCCCCTGGCGCAGCTTCAGGCCATTCCCTTGGGTCCTGTCAGTGGTGACCATAGACAAGGGATCAGTGCCTGCTCCTCTTCCCCTCACAAGGAAGTTGTGACTGCAATGAGGTCTCCCCTCAGTCTCCAGGCTGAACAGACCAAGTGACCTCAGCTGCTCCTCAAATGGCTTCCCCTCAAGGCCCTTCACCATCTTTGTTACCCTCCTTTGGATGTTCTCTAAGAGCTTAATATCTTTCTTATATTGTGGTGCCCAAAACTGCACACAATATTCAAGGTGAGGCCGCACTAGTGCAGAGCAGAGCAGGACAATCCTTTCCCTCAACCAGCTGGTGATGCTTTGCCTGATGCCCCCCAGGACACAGTTGGCCCTCCTGGCTGCCAGGGCACTGCTGACTCATATTCAACTTGACATCATTCCTAACGTAAAATTTGCTTAACTTTCCTATGATACTTGCTGCTAGGAAAATGAAAAAGGTGTTTAATTATCACAAGACCCCTGATTCCTTCCTTTTTACAGAGGTGTGCTTAGGCTGAAGGCACATGAGCATGAGTAGAAACCTATACCTTCCTGCTTCTTCACTGATGCTTGCTAACAGATGTTATCAATCCTACACTTTTAAGAAACATAAGAGACAAAAATGATTCTTAAATCTCACAAATCCATTTTCCAACAGGGTAAGAAAGATAGTTTACAAATCAATTTTTCTACAAGATATTTTTAGTAGTGACAGTAGTTGTGTGAAGGGCAGTAGGAAATTCCAGTACAAATCTGAAGTCTACAACTTCAGTCTGACTCCAGTACGAATTTCTAATTCTTTGTCGCAGTACTTCAGAAAACCAAACTAGTGTTTGTCTTTCCGTTCTTAGTGCCTGATTTTGTCAATCACCTGAAGCTTGATTTTCTTAGCTATTTTCCAACTTTTTGTCAAGTGGCACTGCCAAAAGTACAGTAAATTATCTTTGAAGAAGAGCTGTAAGAAAAACAAAGATTATGGTGCATTCAGCAGAACTGATTTCGAAAAGTAGTAATATGAGTTAGTATAATTATTCAAATCTTTTGTTAACATTGCATAGGGGTTCAATGAAAATGTCACAGAGGGTAACATTTGCTATATAGTGAAATGGAAGACCAAATTATAAAATGGAGTTTCATGCCACTCACTGTGAAATCTGATCTGAAGCCATAAACTTCATCTGTTGGCAGTTATGTCTTGTATATATTATTTATTTGACTTATAACAAGAATGTCTGTGAGGTTGATAACATTGGTGTATTTAACATGGTCTTTCCAGTCACCCTTGAGGGTACAGGTAAATTAGACTGTATATTGCACAGAACTCAAATAATGATAAAAACACTCCTTTTTATTATTAAATAAATAGAAAATATTTTAAGCAGTTCTTTTCTTCAAGTATTCCCAATCAGAACAACTTCATTTTACTCCTTCAGAATATTAAAACTGTGAATATACAGATTCTGTCCATATTAGAGCACACTGCAGAAACACCCATTTTTGCGGTTGTGCAGATTTCTTTAATAATGACTTCTTGAATACTTGGTTTTGATGTAATAGTTCTCGTGTTTATTCTGAGAGAAAAATAATGCACGTCAGATATCAAAGTTAAGACTTACTGATGTCTTAGACTAGGAATTACAATAAATGGTAACATATGACATTTTTATTTTCTGTAAAGCAAACTATTTTTCATAATTTTACCAAATAAAAACTCCCAATTGCTATATAATGTGGTAATGTTTAATAAACTAAAACATTGTCTTTCTAACAGCTTTTGGATATTCTAGTTATTTAAAAATAACATATTTTTAATACTTAAGGCTAAACCAAGCTGAAAAAACAGATGAAGATAATTAAATGGCAGTGGTTAAAGTTAGTTTAGTTTAGCTGATAGTGGTAACACATTTTGCAGAATATCAGTCCGTCTCTTTGGGAGGTATAAGCATTATGTCTGAAGCAGCATTAAAGTTAGTTCTATTCTGCCTATTGCATAAAGTGCAAGCAGTTTTCCTGGGTATTTGCCAGTTGTAATTCCACAGATGATGTGGTTCTCCAATTTTTTACTGCACAGCTCATGCAATGTGTTGTGTGATGCATGATGCAGCATCACAGAAAGCTGCAAGTTCCAAGCATTGTCTGAAAGACTAATGATGCCTATTGCTCAAGTTATGCAATATGTATTCTTAGCAGTTCTTATGTTTCCCTCTAGTGCAAAAAGAATGTTAGATATGAAGTAAGCTTTTGTTTGTAATGCTAAGAGCCTAATGGGAATGTTCAGGTCTTAGATTTCATAGTTTACAGCCAGACGGGACTATCATGTCACTTGATGCAACTGCCTGTTCGTCTCAGGACACATAAATTTGTTCAGAGACCTCCTTCTGAGTCCAAGATTTCAGTACAGTGAAATTAAATGCAGACTGGCAATTAATTTTCCTGCTAACACAGGTAGAAAATGGAACAGCAGTTGTCATCAGTCTCACATCTGTCCTGGTGTGTGCTACAGAGGCTATGCTGCTGAAGGTGGGTGTAGCGTGTAGGTTCAGAACATTATGTTAGAAGACTGTAGTTTTGCCTTGATGTTCAGTTGAAGAAAACTGCTTTCATATACTTGGAATCCACATTTTTTGTTGATGAAGTGGTGACCGTAAAACCATGGTCTGCTCAGCTCTGAAGTCTGACAAAGGCAGAAGTTAGTGGAGCTGTTCTGTTACTCCATGGCAATGAAATGGAATACTTTGTCATTCTTTGCTGCACTAGGATGATATAACAAATATAATAATGATAAACATCAGCAGCTTTTACCCAGCATGAATACAGGAGAATTTTACCTCATCTGCTTGTTCTGGTCTAGCAGTAACAGCATAAAATCACAGCTGTTTACCAAGTTACTTGTTTTTAAAAATCTACTGTAAACTCTGCTACCTCTTCCTGCGGCTGCTGCTCCTTTTCTTGGAGCTCCTTTTCCTTCTTTTCCTCTGCTGTAGCATCTACTGTGTGTGTATTTATGAAAGGGAGGGGCCAATCTCTTGTTACTGTCTGGCTTTTTGTCTTTCCTAATACTTTCTCACTCTCTCTCTTTTGTATGGAGTTCTTTACTAATATTTGACAACTGAGCAGTCAAGCTGCTGGACCAATAACCTGTTGTTCTTACGTGAACTAACTATGCTTTCTTATTACTATATAACTGTTTCTGCAACAGGGATAACGGAAGCTCAGTTTAATGTCTTGATTGTTTAAAAAAAATCAAAGGGAAAAACTCTGAATACTTCTGTCATACCCATATAATAAATTTGAACTTCTGAATGTAACCTACTTCATTTTCTCCAAGAATAAATACGACATTTAGTGAATCAAGTTCCATGCCAAAGATTAAATATTTGAACTCATTAATTCAGTCTGGATTTCTAGACCCACTCAACAGAATGTAAAATATTCTTGACCTACCTTGAATCTATTCTCATTGTCCATAGCCACAGTGTGTTCTATTAATTCTTTAGGTGATTTAGCAAAATAGCAAATTCTTCATATTGCATTTAATTTTTTAAGAATGGGAACTAATAACTTGTTAATAAAATTTACTGAAAATAACATCACAAGCTGTGGTAGATGTAGAAGGCTGTTTTAATAATTTTGAGCAACTGTAAACCAATGTTAAAATATGC